CTGATTAACTCTTTAGTATTATCCCAGTTTACCTATTTTTGCTTATGGTCTTGCCTACGCCTTGCGAACAGTTTTTAAATTATATGAGAAAAAAATATTCTATTTTATTTGGAACGACAAGCCAGACAAAATTAAACGGGCCTATTTATGTCATATGAATTCGGAGGACAGAAATTATTAAATATTAAAGCATTAGACCTATCACTAAAAGCTTCAGTCATACAAAAGTTATACTTAAATCCGAACTGGTTCTCTAGCAAATTAGTAAGATTGTCTCACCCCATGTTCAAGAATGGCCTTTTTCCCTTTATTCAGATTACAACCTCTCACTTTCAGTTATTTGAAAAGGAAATAATCTCCCAAATATCACTATTTCTAAAACAAGCCATAAAAAGTTGGTTGCAATTTCAATTGAATCATCCAGAAACGACAGAACAAATAATGCAACAAATATTGTGGGTAAACTTAAATATACTAATTGATTAAAAAAATAAATAAAAAAAGTAAACAATTTAAAAATAGAAAAACATGTATAATCTTCGTAAATTATATTGTAGGTAGGACTTATGTCGCACATGCAGCTAACAAAAACATATGGAAATGTCTGCTCTAACCAAAATTACAACCAAATAATTGCAGTATTACCGCAAAAATGGAAGAGGAAAGTGTCGGCCCTGCATTAAAGAACATAATTGGTTAAAGAAAGTTGTGATAAATAAAAAAGTATACCAGTTTCATTTAAGGACAAAAGGATTGACAGCCGTCCCATATAGATTGCAAAATAGTTGGGAAGCGATTTTTGACGTACCGATTCCATGGCATAGTGTTTATGAACTGATGCGCAAAACAACGCTGGATTCTAAACTTATAATTTTTCTATTTAAATTATTATACACAATTCTTGCTACCAATAGAATGTTATTTATATGGGGGATACAATCTTCCCAGCTCTGCAGATTTTGCTGCGAAGAGACAGAATCATTAGATCATTTGCTTTGGTACTGTCCATTTGTAGCTTGTTTTTGGACACAGGTCCAGGAATGGCTAAAGGATTGCATTATTTACCTGGTGCTAACCCTGCAGATAGCACTACTGGGTGATCTGAAAAGAACAAGAATAAAAAAATAAAAAACAAGGCAACACTCCACCTCCACATTTTACTGGATTGGTTGAACAGTGCAGAAGAAGAACTTATTGAAATGATATAAATATAGATAATAGAACAGACATTCCTATTTAAGTTGACATTCTACGGTGGCTGGACCGGCGGCCACCTTTGCGGTAGTAATTGGAAGTAAAAATGTTAATTCAAATTATATTTCAATGATGTACCAGTTAAATTGCAGTGTTCTGAAGGGATATGTCCACTATGAATTATATTTCTATTATTTAAATGACACCCACCCTGTATTCAAGAGTGTGCTGTGTTTCAACTGATGGCGGGCATAACACAAACACCTTAGAATATGTAAAATAGGGTCAGATTTAGGCTTGGGCGATACCCCGGTATATGGTATAAACGGTATATTTTGAAATACCGACGGTATGATTTTCAATACCTTTAATTGAAAATCACCGCCTCGCAGGGGTGCGTGCTAAGCCACTGCTTATAACTAACTATAAGTTAAGCATAACTATGAAAAATCTAAAATGTTTCAAATAAAATAAATCCAGCTCATGGCTCCAGCTATGCATTTGGTTTACTAACTTGCTAGCTAAGTGGCTATATGTCAAGATCAAGCTTCTTGGTTACAGCAGAGACATTCTAGCCTGAGTACCAGTTTATTTAGCTAATATTGCACTCCTTGCCACTCCTTGTCATTGCCAAAGAGACTGTCCTTTCTGCCATCTTCAAATATGAACATTCTATCATTTAATGAGCTTGAGGAGAACAGAGGAGTTGATCCTGATTTGATAACCATCACAGCTATCCTCCAATCACAACAATTATCAAAATATTGGAACTATGTCACATTTTTTCTCCACAGAACACATTTGTGTCCGTTTGCTAAGCAACAGTTTTTTGTTTGTCCAGACGAAACCAGTCTGTCAAAAGTTGCTAGCTCACGTCTAAATTCTCAAACTAAATACAGTGAGGGAAAAAAGTATTTGATCCCCTGCTGATTTTGTACGTTTGCCTACTGACAAAGAAATGATCAGTCTATAATTTTAATGGTAGGTTTATTTGAACAGTGAGAGACAGAATAACAACAAACAAATCCAGAAAAACGCATGTCAAAAATGTTATAAATTGATTTGCATTTTAATGAGGGAAATAAGTATTTGACCCCCTCTCAATCAGAAAGATTTCTGGCTCCCAGGTGTCTTTTATACAGGTAACGAGCTGAGATTAGGAGCACACTCTTAAAGGGAGTGATCCTAATCTCAGCTTGTTACCTGTATAAAAGACACCTGTCCACAGAAGCAATCAATCAATCAGATTCCAAACTCTCCACCATGGCCAAGACCAAAGAGCTCTCCAAGGATATCAGGGACAAGATTGTAGACCTACACAAGGCTGGAATGGGCTACAAGACCATCGCCAAGCAGCTTGGTGAGAAGGTCCTCTGAAGCTCAATTGGTAGAGCATGGCGCTTGTAACGCCAGGGTAGTGGGTTCGATCCCCGGGACCACCCATACGTAAAACATGTATGCACACATGACTGTAAGTCGCTTTGGATAAATGCGTCTGCTAAATGGCATATTAAGGTGACAACAGTTGGTGCGATTATTCGCAAATGGAAGAAACACAAAATAACTGTCAATCTCCCTCGGCCTGGGGCTCCATGCAAGATCTCACCTCGTGGAGTTGCAATGATCATGAGAACGGTGAGGAATCAGCCCAGAACTACACGGGAGGATCTTGTCAATGATCTCAAGGCATCTGGGACCATAGTCACCAAGAAAACAATTGGTACCACACTACGCCGTGAAGGACTGAAATCCTGTAGCGCCCGCAATGTCCCCCTGCTCAAGAAAGCACATATACAGGGCCGTCTGAAGTTTGCCAATGAACATCTGAATGATTCAGAGGAGAACTGGGTGGAAGTGTTGTGGTCAGATGAGACCAAAATCGAGCTCTTTGGCATCAACTCAACTCGCCATGTTTGGAGGAGGAGGAATGCTGCCTATGACCCCAAGAACACCATCCCCACCGTCAAACATGGAGGTGGAAACATTATGCTTTGGGGGTGGTTTTCTACTAAGGGGACGGGACAACATCACCGCATCAAAGGGACGGTGGACGGGGCCATGTACCGTCAAATCTTGGGTGAGAACCTCCTTTCCTCAGCCAGGGCATTGAAAATGGGTCGTGGATGGGTATTCCAGCATGACAATGACCCAAAACTCATGGCCAAGACAACAAAGGAGTGGCTCAAGAAGAAGCACATTAAGGTCCTGGAGTGGCCTAGCCAGTCTCCAGACCTTAATCCCATAGAACATCTGTGGAGGGAGCTGAAGGTTCGAGTTGCCAAACGTCAGCCTCGAAACCTTAATGACTTGGAGAAGATCTGCAAAGAGGAGTGGAACAAAATCCCTCCTGAGATGTGTGCAAACCTGGTGGCCAACTACAAGAAACGTCTGACCTCTGTGATTGACAACAAGGGTTTTGCCACCAAGTACTAAGTCATGTTTTGCAGAGGGGTCAAATACTTATTTCCCTCATTAAAATGCAAATCAATTTATAACATTTTTGACATGCGTTTTTCTGGATTTTTTGTTGTTGTTATTCTGTCTCTCACTGTTCAAATAAACCTACCATTACAATTATAGACTCATGTCTTTGTCAGTGGGCAAACGTACAAAATCAGCAGGGGATCAAATACTTTTTTCCCCTCACTGTACATACTGAAATTCCAACCACAAAACCTCTTGCTTTGATTTTAAGACTCAGAATACAACAACTTGCCTAGCTAACAGCTAAATGTTTGTTTTTGACTTTGTTATCATTTCTAAATCTATTTTTGAGGCTGCACATGTTGTCATGGAAAATATTTATGTAATTTCCATCAACCAATTTGCAACTCTGCTGTAAATCCAGCTGCATATTGAACGTTGAGATTGCCGAAAGGCCAGTCTGTTTGGCAATGGAGTGGCAAGGAGTGGAATCTTAGCTAAAAAGACTGGTACCCAGACTAGAGCCATTCAATCCCCTCCTGCATAAAGATCCTGTTGCCTAAATTGTTTTGTGCGTCCAAAAAATCATATATATTATTTTAGAAATAACGCCGCTTGTGTGCACTTCCGGTAATATCGTATACCCCTTTATGGTACAGAAGCGGTATGACAATCTGGATACCGCCCAACCCTAGTCAAACTGCAACATAATATTTGAAAATGAAAACATTTGGATTTTTACATTCAAGGATTAAAAGAAAATTATACAAAAATTGTTAAATAGTTTGACAACCCTGTTTTGTAAGCTTTTAAATTATATCACACTCAACTGTTAATATTTTCCAGTGATGAAGACCTGGGATATCTCCTGGGAGGGTGGGTTTTGCAAAATCGGTCAACTTTGAGCACCTCTATCTCCTAAAATGTTTTTGCGTTCAGGTCCAAAAAGTCACTTTCTGACCACCTCTACCATGGGCAAATATGTATGAACGTTTCATTCAAATCAAAAGGGGTGTGGTCAAAAAGTGATTGAAATCAAATGGAATTACCCTTTACTAACATGTCATGCAATTCTTTTAACAATGTTGGCAACTAGTTAGGCTTTTCCAATCTGTTTCTCAGGGTCCCTCAACTATTGCACACTTTTGTTCATTTTTGTAGCAGCAAACCTGATTCAACCAAGCAAAGGCATTGATGATATGTTGACTAGTTGAATCTGTGTTAATGCTAGAACAGAAATGTGTTGTCTGGAGGTTTCCCAGAGGAATGGATTTTGAAACACTGAGTTATTTGGCTGTCTGCTGTGATAATCAGTGAACTCATCTTATGATCCATTTGGTCTGTTTCAGTGCTGGTTGTCATACTGAGCCACAGCTGTAACCATGGATGCCAAAGCCAATGACAGCACCTTCCCTAGCTTTGGAGACTTAGATGATTTCCTCACCAAGCATGACTCCAATTTTGTGTGGCTACTTGTGGGTAAGTGTTGAGGAAATGTTCTAGGGTGGGGGTGGAACAGCAGTGAATCTCAGCCATTTCTCACATTAGAGTTGATGAATGGGGAGCACTTAACTCCAAGTATACAGGCGTGAAGCCTCATTTAACACTCATAACGATATGAGGCATAGTTTAAACCCTCTGAGTCAGTGGTAACTAGGGGTGTAATTCCAATCCTAATGGTAACCCATCTTTCACTTGAGTCATGACAGGACATGGACCAGCTATTATGTCACTGTTGTGACAATCTTAATGAAGTCGTTACGACAGTACCAAACATTTCCTCTTTAACTAAGGATGGTGTGATATCAGTGACACTAGCTGACTACGCTCTGTTTTCTCTTCCAGCCACCATTCTGTCCTGTGGATGGATCATCTACCTGACCTACTACAACTCCCGCAACATCGGCCTCATCTTAACCCTCATCATCAACAGACTCTACAAGAATGGCTACATTCACATCGGTGAGTGTAAATAATGAAATTAAACAAGCTTGCAGATGCGTGAATATGAACCTTGCCAGAGACTTGCAGACTCAGACTTGGCTCCCAGTTGCCCTATTTATGGAATTCAGTGTGAATAATCGAATGTTAGCGTGTCTGAAACTGTGACCTACTCGGATCAGTTTTAGCATCACTGTCTGACTGTCTGTCTGTCCTCTCTCTCCACAGGCTCCTTCTCTTTCTCGGTGCTGTCGGGGAAGGTCATGTTCAGGGATGTGTACTTCATCAACGAAGATATGTCCATCAGGTGCTTACTTTTACACTATTATGTTATGTATTCTACTCTCTATACAATACATGCTTATATTCTAATACTATTTTATTCTACCTTCAATGTATATTGTGTTACAGAATACAAGATGGTTTCCTTATATTCCGCTGGTGGAAAATGTATAACCCTAAGCAGAAACAGCACGGTCAGTGGATTGTACAAGAGACATTATGGTTTTGAATTGGATATGGGAAACAAGTCCATAGGTGTAGGAGTGGTGGGAGGCTGCAGAAACTCAAATAGCTTGTACTCTTCTTGACCATCATGTCAAAGTTACAGATGATCTTGTTATTTTCTTCTCCAGACCCCAAGGCTGAGACCAGGCTCTACGTGACCGTAAATGGATTTGAGTTCCACATTTACAACCGTACAGACCTCTACGCACGACTACAGGAGACCTTCGGGTTGGACCCGACCCTCATATCTCCCAAAAAAGACGAGGAGAGAGGAAGAGAGGAACGAGAAAAGAGCCTGGACAGTGTTAACATCAAAGCAGAGACTCCAGACCCGTCGTCATCTTGGAGATCCCTCATCCCCGTCATCAAAGTCAACATCAGCACAGTGAGTTTTCCATCACACCCACACACACTAGTCAATAGTTAGGTTATCTGAAAGTGCACTTATGTTTAATTCTCATCATCACTGTATCGTGTGTATTTCTCCAGGGTCGCTTGGCATTTGGGAACCACCACCTGCCACAGACGATATGTGTGAATTTTGAGGATGCCTTCCTGACCTACGCCACCAAACCCCCTTCCAGCCACCTGGACCAATACATGCACATCATCAAGGGCTCTCTGGAGAATGTCCGCGTCATGCTCGTACCCAGCCCACGCTACCTGGGCATGCAGAACGATGAGTAAGTTGACCTTTGACCCTAACCCGCATTACATGGGCCTGCTGAACGAAAAGTGAGCTGACCATCGACCCTAACCTCTTAATCCTAAAGAATACAACCTCTGTTGTCCTTCATAGGCCGCCCAGACTGATGGGAGAAGGGTTTGTGGTCATGCAGTCTAATTACGTGGACATCTACTATTACCAGGATGAACCAGGTACGACCATATTGTGTAGAATTTGCCAGGATCGCAGAGTCCTGAATAGCTTTTTTTATACCTGTAAAGTCATTAGTAATTCATATTATTGTGTGTGTATTGTCAGGCCTGGTCCCAGAGGAGCAGGAGAGTGGGGATCCAGAGCTGTGTGGAGAGGGCACCAAACTGCAAGATCTGCCTCCCTGCTGGGGTCTGGACATAGTCTGTGGAAAAGGAACTGACTTCAACTATGGACCCTGGGCAGACAGGCAGAGGTACACACACACTAACTATACTACTACATAATACATAATTGGCTGTTCACCAGACTCAGCAGCATTCTCTCCTGTGTGCAGAGACCATAGGAATATAATTACTCATATTTATATTTCTGTATGCAGGGACTGCCTGTGGAAGTTCTTCCTCCCGGCAGACTACCAATCCTTGGGTGTTACGGAGGTGGCTCAGCCCGGCAAACCAAGACAGATCCTAGCCTTCGAGCTGCGCATGAACATTATCGCAGACGCCACCATAGACCTGCTCTTCACCAAAAACAGGGTACCAGGAGACCAGGCTGCTCTCTCCTCTCCTCTCCTCTCTCATTTTGTTAAAAGCTCCATGTATTAGATAATGTCAGATCTAAATAGCTGTAAAGTATTATAATCCATTCCACAATGGGATCATGTGTTTCTCTCATTATGTGCTCTATTGATTTTTCTGCTCTTAGGAAACCAATGCCATCCATGTGAATGTTGGAGCAGGCTCTTATCTGGAAGTGAACATCCCCATGACTGTGGGGGAGACTGGTGAGTTGGACACTGAGAGAAAGAACTGAGATTAGAAGAAAGTGGATGTCTTTAGTAGGGGTGTGCCGACCTTACCATACTCGTATTCGTATCCATAATTGACAGTTGATAGTCGGATCGGATGATATTCTTGATCGGAAAACACGGAAGTGTTTTAATATGCCTAAATAGATGTTGGCAAAATACCAATCTCCCTGCAAAATAAACTGCAGATTAGGAGCAGTGTGTGAAGGTGTGTGTGTGTCCTCAACTTGCAGAGGGCAGTTTGCTGTCACTCAGTCAGAATGCGCATCAAAGTTTCATATTTTCTCCCTACCTTCGCCCTGCTTGTTAGATACTATGCACATTGATAGCTTGACCAAATGTCCTACACATTTGATTTATCATAGTAGGAGGCTAACAGAAGGCAGCATCAATAAATGATCAAACCGAAACATGCAAGGAGAAGTGGTTGTGTGAAATTATGAAGCAAAGCGAGTGGACGTAGAAATACAGCTTCGCTCTTTCCAATCAGAGCAGCAGGATCAACGCCCTTCTCTTTACAGACAGGCAAACTAGCCAGTTTAGTTATTTAGACTACGTAGCAACTTGCATTTGATTGACTTACTTTCCGATCACGGATAATAACAAAACATATTTGGATCATAATCGTATCAGGACAATTGCCCATATCTGTTACGATACTCGTTTTATCCGACTACTCAGCCCACCCCTAGTCTTTAGGTCTATGGTTACAGGGTAAGACAGAGGAGGGATGCCGTGAAAGCATGCATTAATCATGACTCATTAATCAATATTACCATCAATAAAGTTCAAACTTGGATTGTCTGTGAGCATTCGTTCTCTCCTCTCTCTCCCCAGGCTACTCTCCCACCATCAAAGGTCAGCTGCTCCATGTTGACACCACCACCAGCATGCAGTACAGGACCCTGCTGGAGGCTGAGATGCTGGCTGTAAGTACAGTACAATAGGAATCTGTAGGGGACCTATTCTACCACAAGCCATAAACTGAATTTCCAATACAAGTTTTGTACTGCAACAGAGTGATTTGTGGGATTCAAATTCATACCATGGATCATACGCAAAAATGTATGCACGCATGACTGTAAGTCGCTTTGGATAAAAGCGTCTGCTAAATGGCATATTATTATTATTATTATTTAGCTATTTGATTTTGAATTGTAGGATCCCTTTAGGTTTAAAAGTAATAATATATAAAAATGCTTTAATAAAATATTTAATTTGGCCTTTACTACTATAGCCCATAGAAACACATTTAATAACACATTCATAAATGACAAGAAATACAGTCAGAAAATAAATCAGACGCAGATTTTGATGGCGTAAAAAAAAAAGATTGACGTCAATAGACTCTCAATCCCTTGATGAGTTGAATCAGGTGTGCTATTGCAACCCCTTGAAAGGCTAACCTGTTGACATGACCATCCACTCTCTCACATGTCCCCTCAGTTCCATGTGATTGCCAGCTATCCCCGTGTATGGAACATGCCCCAGTCCTGGAACTGTGAGATAGAGGTGTACAAGGCCACGTATCACTTCATTTACGCCCAGAAGAACTTCTTCACAGGTAAGACCCCCATTTCCTCTCAATCAGTCTATAGACAAATGTATTATACACATACACTACCGTTCAAAAGTTTGGGGTCACTTAGAAATGTCCTTGTTTTCGAAAGAAAAGCAATTTTTTGGTCCATTAAAATAACATCAAATTGATCAGAAATACAGTGTAGCCATTGTTAATGTTGTAAATGGCTATTGTAGCTGGAAACGGCTGATTTTTAATGGAATATATACATAGGCGTACAGAGGCCCATTATCAGCAACTATCAGTCCTGTGTTCCAATGGCACGTTGTGTTTGCTAATCCAAGTTTATCATTTTAAAAGGCTAATTCTTCATTAGAAAACCCTTTTGCAATTATGTTAGCACAGCTGAAAACTGTTGTGCTGATTTAAAGAAGCAATAAAACTGGCCTTCTTGAGACTAGTTGAGTGTCTGGAGCATCAGCAATTGTGGGTTCGATTACAGGCTCAAAATGGCCAGAAACAAATAACTTTCTTCTGAAACTCGTCAGTCTATTCTTGTTCTGAGAAATGAAGGCTATTCCATGCGAGAAATTGCCAAGAAACTGAAGATCTCGTACAACGCTGTGTACTACTCCCTTCACAGAACAGCGCAAACTGGCTCTAACCAGAATAGAAAGAGGAGTGGGAGTCCCCGGGGCACAACTAAGCAAGAGGACAAATACATTAGTGCTAGTTTGAGAAACAAGCGCCTCACAGGTCCTTAACTGGCAGCTTCATTATATAGTACCCGCAAAACACCGGTCTTAACGTCAACAGTGAAGAGGCGACTCCGGGATGCTGACCTTCTAGGCAGAGTTGCAAAGAAAAAGCCATATCTCAGATTGCCCATCTTAATTTTTATTAGTCAATCTGAGATATGGCTTTTTCTTTGCAACTCTGCCTAGAAGGTCAGCATCCCGGAGTCGCCTCTTCACTGTTGACGTTGAGACTGGTGTTTTGCGGGAACTATTTAATGAAGCTGCCAGTTGAGGACCTGTGAGGTACCTGTTTCTCAAACTGAGGAGTGGCTTCTGTCTGGCCACTCTACCAGATAGGCCAGATTGGTGGAGTGCTGCAGAGATGGTTGTCCTCCTGGAAGGTTCTCCCATCTCCACAGAGGAACTCTGGAGCTCCTTCAGAGTGATCATTGGGTTCTTGGTCATCTCCCTGACCAAGTCCCTTCTCCCCTGATTGCTCAGTTTTGCCGGGCGGCCAGCTCTAGGAAGAGTCTTGGTGGTTCCAAACTATTTCCATTTTAAGAATGATGGAGGCCACTGTGTTCTTGACGACCTTCAATGCTGCAGACTTTTTTTTGAACCCTTCCACCGATCTGTGCATCGACAAAATCCCGTATCGTAGCTCTACGGACAATTCCCTCGACCTCATGGCTTGGTTTTTGCTCTGACATGCACTGTCAACTGTGGGACCTCATATAGACAGGTGTGTGTGCCTTTCCATATCATGTCCAATCAATTGAATTTACCACAGGTGGAATCCAATCAAGTTGTAGTAACATCTCAAGGATGATCAATGGAAACAGGATGCTCCTGAGCTCAATTTCGAATCTCATAGCAAGAAGTCTGAACACTTATGTAAATAAGGTATTTCTGTTTTGTATTTTTATAAATTTGCTAACATTTCAAAAAGCCTGTTTTCGCTTTGTCATTATGGGGTGTTGTGTGTAGATTGAGGATTTCTTTAAAAAAAATCAATTTTAGAATAGGGCTCTAACCTAACAAAATGTGGAAAAAGTCAAGGGGTCTGAATACTTTCTGAATGCACTGTACAGATCTGCCCTTAAAGGAATAATCCAATCAAATCCACAAATTCCTGTGATTTGCGTTGTTAAATAATGCAAATATGTGAGAACAATATATGTTCCATTATAATAAGTTAGGAAGCAAAGTGAAAATTGTTGTGTAAATCTGCAGAGCTCGAATCGACTACAAAACCCACAATGCAATGATGCTCTCTCTAGAAGGGGAGGCTGGCTAGCTAGGTAGCAAGAAAACGTAGCTACACACAATAATATCAGTCAATATCAGAAGTAGTTGGCTAGTTGTAAAATCCCTGAAACAAACTGCACTATCAATTTAGGAGTTACAATCTCGCCATGTTCAACCTGGTAGAGATTGATTTTAGCTCAAAGCTGTGTGTAAGGTTGCTATGGCAATGCGCAAGGGCCCTGCGAGCCTGCAAGCAGGGAGACAGAGGAGAAAACCGCTTTGCGCCATGGTAGTTGAAGAAAGGATATTAATCTGGCGGTGGCACAGCGGTCTAAGGCACTGCATCGCAGTGCTAGAGGCATTACTACAGACCTGGGTTCATTCCCGGGCTGTGCCACAACCGGCCATGCCGCGAGTCCCATAGGACGGCGCACAATTGGCCTTGCGTCGTCCGGGTTAGGGGAGGGTTTGGCCGGTGGGGCTTTACTTGGCTCATCGCACTCTAGCGACTACTTGTGGTGTGCTGGGTGCCTGCAGGCTGACTCCGGTCGCCAGTTGAACTGTGTTTCCTCCGACACATTGGTGCGGCTGGCTTCCGGGTTAAGCTGGCGGGTGTTAAGGAGCGTGTTTAGGCAGGTCATGTTTCAGATGGACGCATGACTCCACCTTCGCCTCTCCCGAGCCCGTTGGGGAGTTGCAGCGATGAGACAAGAAAAAGGGGGTAAAATAAAATAAATAAATACAAAATATATATACTTTGTCATGACGATACAGACAGATGGATGTGTTCTAGACAAGTATAGTCCCAGTCGGTATTAGATAGAAGTTGCGTCCCTGCCCTTCCGTGGAGAAAACAACCTGTGGTTACCTAGGTTACCTTGCTAGGTTACTTTGCTTTATCTTGGCCAGGTCGCAGTTGTAAATGAGAACTTGTTCTCAACTGGTTTACCTGGTTAAATAAAGGTGAAATAAAATAAAAAAATAAAAAATACCCAATTGACTCAAAGCAAAAACGTTTGTGCTTGTTTTAGTCAATTACAAAACTACATTTAAGAAAAGTACAACATCTCTAAAGATTACTTTTCAACATTGCCTTCTCCCAAGCGTTCTCACTACTTAGAAAAACATAATATTGTAGGGCTTCCCTCATGCCCCTTTTCATGACGGTGCTAGCAGCCACGTGAGTGCTAGCTAGCCAAGACAAACAACACAAGCTAGTCGTCTTGACTTTCTTATGTCATTCTCGTTGGCACCAAAAGTTTTAAAATGTTGATAGGGGACAGAATGTGGTCGGACCATCATATAATTGGCATATACGTTACTCTTACTGAATTTCCACGTGGGCGAGGATATTGGAAATTTAATCAAAGCCTATTGGATGACAACTTGTTTTTAACTAGGACAGAGGAATTTATAACTGATTTTTTCCGACATAACATAGGTACAGGAAATCCTTTTATTGTATGGGACACTTTTAAATGTGCCTTTAGAGGCCATGCAATTCAGCACTCATCTCGAAAACAAAAGCAATTTAGGTCAAGAGTCCATACTAACAAAGGAAATAGAAGGTCTAACAGAACAGATAGATACAGTGGGGAGAACAAGTATTTGATAAACTGCCGATTTTGCAGGTTTTCCTACTTACAAAGCATGTAGAGGTCTGTATTTTTATCATAGGTACACTTCAACTACACTTCAACTGTGAGAGATGGAATCTAAAACAAAAATCCAGAAAATCACATTGTATGATTTTTAAGTAATTCATTTGCATTTTATTGCATGACATAAGTATTTGATACATCAGAAAAGCAGAACTTAATATTTGGTACAGAAACCTTTGTTTGCAATTACAGAGATAATACGTTTCCTGTAGGTCTTGACCAAGTTTGCACACACTGCAGCAGGGATTTTGGCCCACTCCTCCATACAGACCTTCTCCAGATCCTTCAGGTTTCGGGGCTGTCGTTGGGCAATACGGACTTTCAGCTCCCTCCAAAGATTTTCTATTGGGTTCAGGTTTGGAGACTGGCTAGGCCACTCCAGGACCTTGAGATGCTTCTTACGGAGCCACTCCTTAGTTGCCCTGGCTGTGTGTTTCAGGTCGTTGTCATGCTGGAAGACCCAGCCACGACCCATCTTCAATGCTCTTACTGAGGGAAGGAGGTTGTTGGCCAAGATCTCGCGATACATGGCCCCATCCATCCTCCCCTCAATACGGTGCAGTCGTCCTGTCCCCTTTGCAGAAAAGCATCCCCAAAGAATGATGTTTCCACCTCCATGCTTCACGGTTGGGATGGTGTTCTTGGGGTTGTACTCATCCTTCTTCTTCCTCCAAACACGGCGAGTGGAGTTTAGACCAAAAAGCTCTATTTTTGTCTCATCAGACCATATGACCTTCTCCCATTCCTCCTCTGGATCATCCAGATGGTCATTGGCAAACTTCAGATGGGCCTGGACATGCGCTGGCTTGAGCAGGGAGACCTTGCATGCGCTGCAGGATTTTAATCCATGACGGCGTAGTGTGTTACTAATGGTTTTCTTTGAGACTGTGGTCCCAGCTCTCTTCAGGTCATTGACCAGGTCCTGCCGTGTAATTCTGGGCTGATCCCTCACCTTCCTCATGATCAGTGATGCCCCACGAGGTGAGATCTTGCATGGAGCCCCAGACCGAGGGTGATTGACCGTCATCTTGAACTTCTTCCATTTTCTAATAATTGCACCAACAGTTGTTACCTTCTCACCAAGCTGCTTGCCTATTGTCCTGTAGCCCATCCCAGCCTTGTGCAGGTCTACAATTGTATCCCTGATGTCCTTACACAGCTCTCTGGTCTTGGCCATTGTGGAGAGGTTAGAGTCTGTTTGATTGAGTGTGTGGACAGGTGTCATTTATACAGGTAACGAGTTCAAACAGGTGCAGTTAATACAGGTAATGAGTGGAGAACAGGAGGGCTTCTTAAAGAATATCTTACAGTTCTGTGAGAGCTGGAATTCTTACTGGTTGGTAGGTGATCAAATAC